ATCAAACTGAAGATTCGTCTCCAAAAGTCTCAAGTCCATTTGAAGATTGTTCTTGAAGAAATTAATCAGAGGAATAATAGAGATTTGTAATCCACTATATTTCATTTGATCTGTTGAAAATTATTTGTACGAATTTCTCGTGTTTATTAATTCAATAATACGAAATTTCGCGTTACAATGAGACCTAAGAGATTGAGATTCAAAACATACCTCCTCGAGTCTCCAACCAGATATTTTCAGGCACTTCACATAACAAAGAGAATTAAGAAACTTCATCTCCATGGAGTTGTAATCTGTTTTGACATGTAAGAACCAACAATATTTGAAGCAGATATCCGCCTCAACTAAGGAGTTCATGGTTATAGGCATTGTTATCCATTCCAAGGCAAAATTATAGGCATACACTTGGAGATACCTAAGTGCCGGGGCATTTATTATCATCCTATATTCAAGGTTAGATGGACGCAACATATGGTCAATATCAAGCTTAAGCGTCTTTATTGTGGGCGATGATATATTTATGCAGCCCACATAATTATATCCTAAGTGGATTGCCATATTCAACTCCTCGAGCGACGGACAGCCGGAAAGAATGCGAGGAAGTGCATCATCATTCTCGCACACCACATTAGAAACATAAAACTTCTTGAGGCTAGGGAGAGAGACATTGTCCACAGCAGAGAGTAACACTCTATAGTTATCAAGCTTCAAGTCGACAATGGTTTTGCAGTTGAAGAGGTATCGAGGAAATGTATCCAAACTATGTTCAAGATAAAGACTTCGGATACTACGGTTGATGGCAGTTGTAATCAATGTCTCCAGTTGATACTCGTTGCAGTTGACGTAAGAGAGTGTTAAATTATCCACCCTTTTTGCCTTGTGCCGCAATATAACCCTGTTGATGATGTCTGAGGCTTGTGTTCCTTCTTCCCTGAAATCATCCCAGACTTGTGTTTCTTCTTCCCAGAAACCTTCTTTCTTGAAATCGTCTTCACTGAAATGCAAACAGGGTACATGGGCCCATAGAAACCTCCATCTTTTTCCGAGAACACTGGTCGCCACTGATTGCCTTGTCGGGAGGAAAGAGAGAATGTGGAATATGACTTCATCCGGCAAGCTGCTGAGCCTATCGATCGAGGCCATGTTTTGCTCTGCGTCCGAAAGCTTTGGGCACTTTCCACTTGGTTGTTTGGCTTCATCCATGTAAATTCTTTCAAAAAGCACCTGATTTTAACAATTTTAAAATACGGCAGTAGCATTCAGAGGGTACCAGGATTCCAATTATTGTATGATGGGCAGTTAAATTCTAACTATAATGTGAAGAAGATGATGAGGCAGATTATTTCCATAAAATTTTGTTATCTCCATAGATTTTCTCTTGGGCATTTCGACAAACACCTGGCTGGCAATCATTTCAACGGAACTGTGTCTTTTACAAGGCTTTATTTTCATGTGTGTACATATACATAAGACCAAAAACGAAAACGAATCATCAAAAAGCGGGGGGAGAGAAAACATAGCGGCCTACCTGTGAACTCTTCTCGCCCTCAATTGAGGAGGCCCTGAATGAAGACGGTGAGGGAGAGACCGGTCCGGTCAGACACCTCCGAGCGTGAGTCCCTGATCCGTCTTGAAGAGAATCAAGATGCCGCAGAGGCCTTGACTGGGGTATCAAACTCGAGGAGGCCCTGGTGATCGAAAAAGGTCCGTGTATTGAGACTGCTGATCGGCTCAGTTCTGAGGATGCCACGGCGACCGAGGTAGGTCGAGACACTGAAGGGACTGCCGACCCGGCTATTGATTTTGCATGTGCGAATGGTTGGCTGTATATTAGAGTGAACCTTCGGTTTTGTTACGAAGCCAACACTTGGTTTCATATTAGAGTCAACTTTCGATTTTGCTATGGAGTCAATGATTGGCTCTATAGTAGAGTAATCTTCTATTAGAAATGCTCCCCTACCCACAGTGGGTACATGTTAATATGCCCACCGCGTAGGTGGCATGCACTCATTGGTGATGTATTTTTTTAAACATATTAACATCACATAACATGTGCCCACCGCGTAGGTGGCATGCACTCATTGGTGATGTATTTTTTTAAACATATTAACATCACCAATTAATGCATGCCACCTACGGGGTGGGCATATTAACATGTGTACACCGTGGATATGTGAGTATTTCTCAATCTTCTATATATATAACAAGTAAACCAATCATGTTATATGATTACTTAAATAACATTAATATAATTTTGTATAGTAGGTTAAACCTACCATGTTCTATGATTACTTAAATAACATTAATACAATTTCATTAGTATAATAGGTTTATTTGTTATATATAGAAAATTGACTCTACTATAGAATCAACTAACTGTTGGCTTTATAGCAAAACCGATTGATTTTGAACTTTTCTTGAATAGTATCTGTTTGATTAGCATGTGGACATTATGGTTTTTTAGACGGGCCTGTGTGCCTCTGTGTTAGACCAAGTGTGGACTTGAACAGTAGTCGTTTGTTTTTATTTTTGAATGGTTCACTTGTGCTTGATGTTGTGATGACATCATATATGATATATATATTTTTTATGATTTTACGAAAATAATATTTGAGATTTTAAGCAAAGTGTGTTGGAAAAGATCAATTAAAGCCGCCATAAAGTGAAAATTTGTTCGTAAAATATAAGAGCAAAAACGAAACTAGAACCATTAATTAAGAATTCAAAACATAAACTTAAATAAGCCATATTGTAGCCCATGAAAATGTGAACAAAAAAAGAGTTCACCTACTGGGTTTAGACAACCGAGTCGAATCATCATCATGTTACATATCCAATATATTTTCATCGAAAGATAAGCAAGTCAAAATAGATATTACATAACTTGAGGAACATTAAGTTGTCGAATGCAGACATCAGTACTTACTACATAATAAGAATTCAGGCCAATCACTCAGCAAAACGGAAGGAAGTCAAGTTGACATGCATCGGATCCTCGCTCAAACAATGAAACTCTCTTAAGCGCTTCGAATTTTGTTTCCGGATTATCACATATATAAAATAGTTCCATCCTCTCCAATACTCGAGAATTCCGCAAAAGATATCTTACCATGTCTATTTCAGGCTTATTGAAAAGCATCAAATTAAATCTTATGGTTCTTAGACATGATAATAGGCATTTAGGCACTTGTTCCGGCGCCACACACAAATATCCCTCTCCATAATAAATCTGATCACACTGAAAGGAGCATAACAAAATGAGTAAAACAAAAGAAGGAGCTACTGCTGTAAGAAAAACGAGAAACAGCTAACGACAAATTTAATTGAATCAACGATAAACTCCACTTACTATAAGGACTTGAAGATTATCAGCAACTTCAAGGAACTTTAGAAGCAAACGCCACTTGAATTTCTATAGGACTTCAAGTTTGGTTAAATTATCAAATTTTACAGCTGAACAAGCAACTCCTCCATGAACAAACTGAAAACATTAAAACCACATTACGCATATATATAACAACAAAGCCGAAAACTAATTGACAAGAATCAAAACATATTACATACCTCGTCAAATATCCGACCTGATATCTTTAGGCACTTTACATAAGACAGAGAATGAAGAAACTTCACCACCGTGGAATTGTAATTCGTTTCGAGATTTGAGAAGCGATAATGTTTTAAGCTGATGTCCGCCTCAACTAAGGAGATAATGGTTATAGGAATTGTTATACACTCCAAGTCATAGTCTTCCACTTGGAGATACCTAAGGGCCGGGGCATTTATTATCATCCTATATTCAAAGTGATGCGAATTGTTAAAAGCGATCTGAAGCATCTTGATCGTGGGCGATGATATATTTATGCAGCCCACAAAATCTTCATCTTTCTCAAACAAGAATGCCATATTCAACTCATTGAGTGACGTACAGCCGGAAAGAAAACGAGGAAGTGCATCATCATTTTCGCATACAAGATTATGAACATATAACTTCTTGAGGCTAGGCAGAGACACATTTTTCACAGCAGAGAGTGACGCTCTTTTGTTTTCAAGCTTCAAGTGGACAATGGTTTTGCAGTTGTAGAGGTATCGAGGGAATGTATCGAAGCTAAGTTCAAGATAAAGATTCCGGATACTACGGTCCATGGCGGTCGTAATCCATGTCTCCAATTGATACTCGTTATACTTGACGCGATTGAGTGTTAAAGTATCCATTATTTTTGCCTTGTGCCGAAATATAACCCTGTTGATGATGTCCGAGGCTTGTGTTCCTTTTTTCCTGAACTTGTATCCACTGAAATTGAAATGCAAACAGGGTACATGGACCCATAGAAACCTCCATCGTTTTCCGAGAACGCTCGTCGCCACTCTGCGCTTTGTCGGGAGGAAGGACAGAATATGGCATATGACGCCGTCCGGCAAGCTACTGAGCCTATCGATTGAGGCCATGTTTTGCTCTCCATCCGAAAGCTTTGGGCACTTCCTACTCGGTCGTCTTGATTCCTCAATGCAAATTCTGACAAAAGGCACCTGATTTAGAGGGTACAGAGAGAAAAACTGGAAACCTGAAGCCTAAGCACAGAGACTCTTGCAACTCCTATCGCCACATGCTACCGACAATAAAAACAAAAACTGAGACAATACAATACTAACACAAACTAAACAGAAACTACCAAAACCAGGGACTAATAATGGGAACGAAAATATGAGCAGACAAATAAGGGCAGCCAAAACACATTTCTAAAAATTTGGCCTGGACAGTTCTGATAAAACATCACGATCTTCAAACTGAAAAAAATTCATCATCACAAAGCAATATTTCCCTCTTATGTAAGGGAATTCCTGTTAACTCGAATGGAAATATACTCAAATTCCAACTCCTAAAATAGCTAAAATTCAGCAACGTAAGAGAAAACCCTATACCTATTCCCTTAAGCTTCCAACCTAGTTTACATTAACCATTTTTAATTTTTTTTTTTTTTTTTTTTT